CCATAGAAGGAGACCACAGTGCTGGTTTACTTTTTTCCAGTTGGGGCAGGGGGAAGCAGGTGGTTTTTCATCTTTCAAAATTCAGTCATATGTTCTGAAATGGAAAGGAGAGTTAAATGTGACATTAAAACAGGGCTCTCTAAACTGAAAAATGGAAAACAAGATTCTTAAATCTTTACAGGAAGGAGGAATGGAATGGAAAATAAAGAAAATCACATGTTAAATAATGTTAAAAATCCCTTTGTCACCTCTTAAATATTTTACTACTAAGAGCAGAGAGAATAAAAATATTAAAACCAACCCTTTAACGTCCTTATTTGTAGATAATACCTGCCTATGCAAGTGTTCTTATTTCCTTTAAAGGTTCCTAAAGGAATGAACCATAATTAATAAAAGCAGTAATGACTTAATTGTTCACATATTCTAGTAACATCAATAATTTTTCAGGAAGAAATGAAGAAAAGTTGGCACTAGAACTTGACACAAGAAGAATTAGTTTAGCTGAGCATTGTGACATGTGCCTGTAGTCCCAGCTACTCAAGAGGCGAGGCAGGAGGATCACTTGAGCCTAGGAGTTCTGGGCTGTAGCATGCTCTGCTAATTGGGTGTCCATACTAAGTTTGGCATCAATATAATGACCTCTCCAAGCAGGGACCACCAAGTTGCCTAAGTAGGGGTGAAACGGCCAAGGTCAGAAACAGAACAAGTCAAAATTCCCATGCTGATCAGCAGTGGGATCATACCTGTGAATAGCCACTGCACTCCAGCGTGGGAGACATAGTGAGACCCCATCTCTTAAATTAAAAATAAAACTTTAAAAAATTAGTTTAGATCTCTTAATAATGTAAACAGTAATCTAAATTATAAAGTTTAGGTGGAGTTAATCTCTGCAATGTGCCTGCCTGGCCCTACCACTAATGCTCTCTCTTGCTTACATGTGTTTGGAATCTAAATACAATTGTTTTGTTTCTTCCTATTTAGGCTGTAGGAGGGTGTATTTACTACAATGATTTAAACCTGTACCTTATTTGGGTTACGAGTTATTCAAAACCCACCTTTGGGTTTTGTGCCAATAATTACAGCTTACTCCTATAACGGGGTTTGTGACGCCTCCAATATAACCAGGTCCCTGGGCAGCATGCGCTGCAAGAGATAGGAGGGACAAAGACATGGACACAAAAAGTAAGGTGAAATGGTGTGGGGATGTCAGGGGACCACCAGCATTCCCGTGAGCCAGGTAGTACTGACTGAAAATTAGCACCCGTTTTTATGCTCTTTTTCATGCTATAGATTACAATGATTTCACGTGAAAAGTTCATGAGTTACAATGTGTAGAAGTTGCAACTCTCCCTAATAGTCACTCTTAGCTAATTACTCTTTTATCTACAGAAGCAGGAACACATAGCTCGTTACTAAGCACAACTGTGCCTTAAGGTATGTATAGATAGTTATCTCTGAACTCAGCAGCTGTGGCCCATTAGATTGAGGGACAAAGACATCAGTACTTCTTATTGGGAGGTTAGCTCCCCATTAACTCAGGCATTCTTCTGAGAAAGGGGAGGGAAGGAACTCAACCTGGTGTTAAGAATTGGAGCCTGGGTCCCTTCTCCCGGACTGACATTTTGCAATCTTCCTTTACAGCCGTGGGTGGCTTTCATGTCAAGCTGCTCCTTGGCTTTTTAGGCATGAGGCCCCTCAGGCCTTAAGGTGGGAGTTTGCTTTGCTGTACTCCCAGATTGCTGGAATGTACCCCCACTAGGCAGTTAACTCCTGCTCTTATCCCCGGCTCCTGCTCAGGCAGCATTCCTTCACCTCCTCTCCTCCCACGCCCTCAGAAGTGGGATCCCTAAGCCCTGGTGGTCTTATCCCCATCACTCCTGTAAGACTTAATGCTCCTTGCTTCCTAGAGAAATACCTTTGTTTACCTAGTTTGCTTTAATTTCCTATCATTGTTTATATAAGACCCATCTGCAAAACTACCTTCTTTGCATTAACAGTATTTTCATCTGGTCCCAGGAAACAGAAAGTAGATAAAGTTTATTGTGTACCAGACTGAACAACTTAATACAGGTAATGAACACTAGACTTTATTGCATGTCTGATATAAGGGCAAGGCAAACATATTTCTAGAGTCTGTCAATTTATCTACAGACAGAAAATACTCATAATAGATTTGGAATAGAATTTTCTTTTCAAACAGCTTATGTTTCAAATAGAAGTGACAAGTGAGAAAGAATGATTGGGCTGCAGAATTTTCAAAAAGCCTAGAAACAGTTTCCAGGAATTTTTAGCAAAAAGGTAAGACACACCAATATTCATCACAATCATACTGTCAAGTACTTCTCAACTTACAACGGAAAGCATAAAAGTGGCTAGACAATACTACCCTCTAGGGGCAGAATTTTTATTTTTACAACTTAATTAAAGGATAAAGAACTAGATAGTAATAGCTCCACTGTAATTGCACAACAGATATTAGTAGCAATTATTAACTTTTATACTTTCAAGTACTAACTTAAGTATATTGTCAATAGGCTAATTATTCGAGGTTAAGCAATCCTTTCTCCTTTCATGTTCTTTCGTTCTCTTAGCGTTAGCGTTAGCACTTACGTGATTGACTATAGAAGTTGGGATAAGACACCTGACCAGTATATTTTGCTATTTTAAAAAATAATTCTGATAAAAGGGTGGAAAGATAAAGATTTTAAATTAATTTCACACATGAAACTTAGGATTTATATATGGATTTTTATTGCTTACTTTTCTAATTTTTCCCATTTTGGGAAAAAGATTAGTGACAAAGATTCCCGGTCTCTTCGGAAATAGGAGGTGCCCACCTATTTAGTTAATCTTTTTAGATAGCAATTAACTATTATAGACCTTATAAAATAGGAAATTAACTTATTATAAACCAAGTATTAACTGCAGAATGTTTTGGATTCCTCTGCCTCCAGCTCTGCTCTAAACCAGGTGTGTTGGTAAATATGCTCCACTATTTACTGTATGTATCCTAGTGTCTTATATCTGGAATTTTTGCTTCACTGGGTTTCTGCATTTTCTCCATTCTTTATCCCAGACTAACCTGTTCATCTGTTGACTCCTGTCAAGTTCTAGAAAATGAAATCGAGATTGATAGTTGGATATTTTCCAGTCTTAAAGTGTTAGAGAAACGGTTACAAGCATGTTACTTTTTAGTCCTAAGTATTGATCTGTCATGGTCCTTTAGGGCAAAATGCCCAACACTTTACTTTTCTACATTATAAGGACTTAATAGCAGTATCAGTAGTCTATAGTAGAGTTGGTATTCTTAAAAAATTATAAAATAGTTTACTATATTTTAAGCACGGACTTTATTTTATCTTGGAGTTTTTTCTCTAATTTTATATTGAAGTGAAAAACAGAAAAACACAATGAAATTTGCTACATAGATAATTTTGGGGATGTTCTATTTAAAAATTTACAACTCAGTATACTGTAATTCCGTATGTGGAAATATACAAAAATATATATAATTAACATTGTATTTAAAACAGAAAACTATGAACGGTATTTCCAAACAATAAGGCAAATAAGAGCTGAGCCAATGGTGTTATTCTTGAGGGCACTAAGCCTAGATTAAACTTGATTAGCATAAAATAGATAATATAGAAGTTGAAGAAATAATTAAACATAGTAACTAGAGTTAATTTTGAAAAAATTGAGAAAGGATCAGACAAATACCATATGTAATAGAAATAAAGCCTATCAGAGTGACAAATGGAAAAAAAAAAAAACCACAGAAAATAAGTTCGTGTCCTCAGTACCAAATATCAGAGGCAGATGAGAAATAACAAGAGACAACGCTAAACTGCCTTAAATTAGGAAGTGGAAAGAGTGAATAAGGCAATTCAGTGAGTTGAAATGACAGGAGCGACTGGAATCCTGTCCACTCCCTTTTGCCACAGTTAACCAGAATTGATGTCTACCTATAAGAATCACAGGTGTTTGATTCCAATATTTTTTAATTATCCTTTTTACATTATTAGCACAAAAATTTTAATTTTCCTTTCAACATCAGTATTTCGATGTGTGTAAGAAATTGAAGATATTCTTTTGACAAATGCTCAGATCTACAATGTTCAATTTCTGTTGGTCTTTCCCTTTCCTACCTACCTAAGAGTTTAAGAGCAACTTTAAGGTGGGTAGGCCATGACAGACGGTGGGGGAGATGTTGGGGAAGACAGAGGAGAGGCGGCAAGAACCCATTTAAATTCAGTTGGACACAGACCTCAACAAGAAAAAAGTTCTGTAACATTGCAAATTAATTAATATTAATAACATGTCGATAATTATATGTATATTAATCTGACTATATTAATGAACTGATTCATATCTTGGATATTCTTATAATAAGCAATTTTAAGTTTCCTTATCTATAAAAGTAAAGGTAAAAACGGAACCTATCTTAGAGTTGTTGGGAGGATTCTATGGGATGATGCACTATAGCCTAGCTAAAAAGTAAGCACTATTTTCAGGAAAACAATTAGTGATTGTTATTAACATTTTCTAACGCGCATATTTCTGGTATATGCATCTACATTCAATGCTCAAAAAGGAGAGCAGAGAGTATTTATTAATTACTTCTGTACCAGATTCTTTACTAATAATTAAACCTCCCACGAGGACCCTAGAGGGACGCACACCCCTCGTAGGGGGCCTTCTGCAGGCCACACGCCTCGGAGGGTTTCAGGCCAGGGCGTGGGATGGCTCCTATCCCTTTGCGGCTGCGTCGGCCGCGCGGTCATCGCACCTTGTTCGCTCCGCCTCTTCCCCACAGGGTCGTCGTGGCTCCCGGCTGCGGGTGGAGGCGCGAGCGCCGTTAGGTCCCGTGGGCTTTTGGGACACTGTCAGTGCGCGGCCCTTGCCTCCTGCTGCCGCCTGGGGCGCTGGGAAACCCGACAGCGATGGTGTCGCAAAAGCGTCGCGAAGGCGTCCGCCCTTGGCGGCTGCCTGCCACCTGTATAAGCGGAGCGTCCTGGGGTTTGAAAACTAGTATGGAGGCAGCGGTGGCTGAGGTTCCCCGGGATTGCAGGGACTCCATGGAGAAGCGGCTCTTTGGTGTCCCGGGCTACTGAGCTCTCGCCGCCTGCGTTCCCGGAGCGCGGCCGTAAGACCATGCTGGCCTCGCGCGTGGTGCGCGGCTCCTGGGGGGCCCTCCGCAGCGCCGCATGGGCGCCGGGGGCGCGGCCGGGCAAGGGGCGCACCCGAGGGGCCCTTCTGCCGCCCGCGCCCTGCTGGTTGGGCTGCCTCGCGGAGCGCTGGTGGCTGCGCCCGGCCGCGCTCGGCCTGCGGCTGCGTGGCCTCGGCCCGCGGAACCACTGCTCGGGCGCGGGCAAGGCGGCCCCCCGGCCAGCTGCTGGAGGGGGCGCCGCCGCCGAGGCCCCGGGCGGCCAGTGGGGCCCGGCGAGTGCAGCCAGCCTGGTACGTACCGAGGAGGCGGTGGAGGGCCGTCCTCTGGCTGGGGTCGCCGGCCCTGGACGCGAGTAAAGTGCTCGGGCCGATCCAGCTCGGATGCTTCCGTTTCAGAACGTTTAAACCGTTCCCTGAAGAGAAGCTACGGGCAAGTCATTCGGTCGGGATGAGTTTCAGGGGCGCCAGCGGGGTCCCACCTGCAGTCTCGGTGGTCAAGTTTGGACTCTCTTCTCATCCCCCTTCTCTCCGTACCCGGTGCTAGAAGGGCTTCTGCGTACTGCATTGGTAAAAGTAGCCTTTGCTTGTCTTATTAAAACTCTATTTTTAATTTTTTGAAGCGAATCCCCAATGTTTAGGACAAGTCAGTGGGAATCTTTAGGAAGGTATACAGGTTCTTCTGTTTGCTTGTGCACGTTTGGTTCACCATCATTTGGCTTTTGGTAACTTTACACGTTATAGGATAGTTAAGTAATTTAGGTCATAATTTAAAGATTATTTAAACCCTAATTATAAAAAAAGATTAGTATTACTCTTGAGGTAACAGAGGGAAATTTGTCCGCTTACCTGTTGAAAATACTGCCCAGGCAGAAGACACCAAAGCATAATCGTGGGAGAGCTTTTGATGTCGTGTTAGCAAGACTCATGCAATTATTACATCTTCAATTGTTACGTCTTCAGTGGGCCCCTGTACTGCTTTCATCAGCTGTACAGCATGGGTTGAGGTGGCCACATCCTGGCAGGAGTCTCAACTCCACTAATAGCTAAAGCATGTTGGGGTTTGAATGCTGGATGCTTTGAAGTTGTTATATCCTGGCTGATGTCCTTCGCAGACGGCAGTAGTTGGTCGAGTATGCCACAGGTTATCTGGTTGGGTAATCCGAGATTAGCTCTCCTAATGTTAACTTTGAAACTTTTACAAATTTAATGGTTAGAAATTAATGAAGTATTTTATTTTTAACTGAAATATTTTATGTAGAGCTAAGAAGAACTCCTTTCACTGTTCAACAACATTTAGTTCCTGTTTATTAATTCACCAAATGAAATCGTGTTGCTGTTTGCAACTTTGTCTTTAATTTTGCTCCACAGCTATCTCTTAATTTGGGGCCTCTTCTTTCTGATCTTTTGCTTCGTTATTCCTTTTTCTCAGTCATGAACTGCGTTTCCCTCCTCCCTCCCTCTCTGTGAGTTGCTCTTACATTGGATCGGTATTTGACTTAATTCTGTGCCACAGCAACGTCAACAGACTTAACTTTTTTCTCTGGACTCTGAAACTCTGATCTTTGAACTTGAATTTGGAATATATTCCAAGAATTTTTTTTTCTTTATATAACGCAGTTTGCTTTCAATAAAAGATCCTAGGTAGAGGTTTGTATTGCTTCTTAGTTTGTGATTGTTCCCTGGAGAATTTGAAGCTTTTCTGTAGCTTTCAGTGACAGTATTCTGCCACCTAACCCTAACAACCACCACCCAGTTATCCCTACAAGCTGAGGTGCTTTCTTGCTGGTTTTTTTGCCGAGTTCTGTTTATAAACCCAAATATAGTATCTTTAGAGAATCCCCCTTTTTTTTTACAGGGTAGTTTATTGGATTTTTTTTTTTTTCAGCATATAATGGGGGTACAGATGTTTAGGTTACGTATGTTTATCGGATTTTAAAAGATATCTTTAGAAAAATGGACTTTGCCAGTTTTTTAAAAACCAAAATTAAGGTTTAGGTAAGTTGGTTACTGATTAAGAAAGAGGTTAAGTAGGGTTAGTTCTTGTGAAGAGAAAGTCCCATGGGGTGGAATTGGCACTGTTCACTCAGTGTGGGAAAAAAAAAATCCAGGCTGTATTGGTGTTATTTCTGTACCCTGTTGTGCAGGATGTCTTAGCTTTACTGGGCTGAGGCTTTTTAAAGTTAAAATACCCTCTCACTAATCACATTTTGTTTGGCAAGGAAGGGATGTTCTTCAGAGCAGCTGCCAAAGAGCTCTTTTGTTAGTGCCAACTTCAAACAGCTTGGCTCCAAATGAAATTTCAAGGAATCGTAAAGCTCCCACATAGGAGGTGTGAAAGCTCTCAGTTTCTGGTTAAGGATCTTAACATTTCCATGGCTGTTTTGAAGAGATTTGCAAAATTTCTCTTTATTTCCAAATATCTCAATCCCTAGTCCTATCTCCACTTTGTTTCAGCAATTCACTGACTTAGTGATAAAGTTATAGAATTAAATCAGTTTTTTTTTATTTAATTGATATGATGAATTCATATCTGTATTCACTGTGTACAGCATTTAGCATTCTTTTGGTGGATGTGTGTAGGGGAATGAGGGAGGTCATTTGCAATAAATATTTCAAGCCATGATGCCTGGGGTTGATAATTTGGCTTTTTTCTGACACTTCATAAGACTATTTGTCTACTTACAAGATCTTCCTGAAATTTCACTTTTGAAAGCAGAGTATTGAAAATTCTGATTTCTTATGGTAAAATCATATATTAAAGCCTTAGCTTATATGACAGATAATATGTTCTTTTATGTCTTCTCTTTTTAGGAAGAAAACCTATTATGTATGTAAGACCCTTTAGTCTATGTTTGGGTGCATGGCACATCTTCATCTTCTGTATTCTTGAAAGGTGGTTTTAGAGAGACATCTATAAAAAGAACAGAATGTATTTAAAAACTCAATTTAATGTATCAAATTTAAAGTTTATGTAGCTTCTGAACCTTAAGTTGCTGAACTGTATTTTCCTAACGTACATACTTATTTAAAGTGTGAATTTTTAGTATTTCATTTAAATTTTGTTATCTTTGTATTTCAGTATGAAAACCCATGGACAATCCCAAATATGTTGTCAATGACAAGAATTGGCTTGGCCCCAGTTCTGGGCTATTTGATTATTGAAGAAGATTTTAATATTGCACTAGGAGTTTTTGCTTTAGCTGGGCTAACTGATTTGGTAAGTTGTAAACACACACCCCTTTTGCTGTCCTTCCTAATCCCAGGGTCTCTACTACTGCTCTAGGATAGCACAGCCTTAGCTGTTTCTTGGAAGGAAATCCTCAGGATGAATTTGACCTAGTACTTTGTGTAAGGACTTGTCTTTAGCATCTGCATGAGACTCTTTTTCTGCATATGATCTACGGGAGGAAGTGAAGGTTGTAGGGAGAGATAAGAGGGTGCACTTTGTACTCTTGCTTTTTAAATTCTTTGTAAAAGAAACACCCTTAGAAAGTCCCAAAGAGCTACATGTTTGCTTTAGGGATGGAAGTAAAGAACAGAGGCTCTGAGACTATTTTTCTGTGTATTGTGACAGAGAGAAATACTCTGATCTGCAGCAAGAGTTGGTTTTCTTGGTGGAAAGAAAAACAGTGGGCCAGTTGTTATGACCCAGGGAACTGGGATGTGACCAGGGAGCTCGTAGAGGTCAGAGCTTCGCTCAGGTTTAATGCTAACAGGAGGCTGTAGGTACCCCACAGGCTTGGTCCCTGATCTCTGCTCCACAACATTCTGACCACCTTGCAGAAGACTCTGCCCTAGGCTGGCCTTTGAACATCCTTCCTTTTTCCACTCCCCTAAACATGGACAAAGGAGAAAAGAGGCCCCTGATACCGTAATGTCAGTTTGGCAGGAGGGGAGGATTTATTTGGGTGATCTCAAATTAGAACTGGGAAAATAATTTTATAACAAAAGCTTTCATTGTGTGTTAAATAGGCTTTTATGGACTGGCCAGCCATTCTCATGTATGACATTATTTGTATTTATCACCCACTTTGTTTTATATAAGATTTGAAATGCCTTATAAAGACAGTTTTTGTACATGCCCTATAAAAACACAGTCAAGAGAAGTGTGAAAAAGGTAGAGAAAACATTTTAAATGAGGGCAAAATTAGCATGGAGAAATAGAGACATTATATTCTTGTATAAGGCTGGTCTGAGATGCATGTGAGCACCCACACAGTCAGTGATTTGGTGCCTCTTCAAGCTTTATGTTTGAAAAGCTTTGCTCAATATTTATTTTGTGAGACTAGACAGAAACTAATTTTTTATTAATAAGAGTTGTATATTAGATTCCTCTGGTGCTGTCAAAAAGAAAAAAGTTGTACAGCATCTTTCTTTGTAACATCAGCTATGCTCTTTTAGGTTCGTAGAAACAAAAATTCCACCTGCCCAGTAGCAGTATGAGGAACAATATAGAATTAACTAAAGATTTTGGAGGGTAAACAGAGAAGAGCATTTACATCCATAGATAGTGTTTCCAAATATGCATCAAATATAACCCCTCAAATTGGCTCTTGCCTCTCGCCTTCCGGACTTTAGCTCCATTTGTCACCACCTCTCTCCATTCTCAAAATCTTTCCCTTTCTTTTGTCCCTGCTTTTATCTTTGAAGCATGAAGGCCTCCACTCATTATTAATATGGTCTCAAGTCTGTCAAAGGTCATTATACTGATAATGAAATTTTTTTTAATGTAACAGATAAGATCTTTTTCAGTTACTGGATTCACTTTTTTTAGTCTGCTAGTTTGGTTTTTTTTTTTGAGCTGCCATGTGAGATTGCAGTATTCATTGAATGGGAGAGAGGCCCCATTAACTTTTGTAAGTTTATAACATGATGTGTGTGGAGACCTGAGTTAACTGGTACTATACTTCACATTTATTCCATGGAGGTGTTAAAGCCTACGGATTTTAATGCTGGGCAGATGGCTGGATTCATCAGTTTAAGCAGGGGAATGACAAGATCTGATTGTGTTGTTTTTGAGAAATGGATTATAGAAAGGCAAGAGTGGAAGAGTGACTGGTTAGGAGGCTTGTAGTAATCCAGGGGAGCCATGGTGGTAGCATGGACAGGGGTGGGAGTTTGGAGTTGAAGAGAAGTGGATGGGTTTGGGATATATTTTAAAGATAGAGTTAATATGTTGATGGATTGGATATGTGGAGTGAGAGAAGGAGGAGTCAGATATGAATACTGTGCTGTTTTTTTTTTTTTTTTAAACATTCTCTTATCAAAAAACCAGGTGCATGGAGGTCACATTTTCTATGACGGGCAACACACAGGATATAGGGAAGAATACCAGGAATTCTGATGCCTGTCCCCTTAGAGGTATCAATTGAGCAATTGAGTGTAGGCGTTTGGAGTTGGAGGAAGTCATCGTTATAGAAAGACAGATTTGAGAGCTGTCAGATACAGAAGGTCAAGTCTGGGTGAAATCATCTAGGCTGATGTAAAAGAATAGAAATGAAAGGTCAGAGAAATGAGCAATGGAGAAGCCAGTAAAGGACACTGAGAAAGAATAGCTGGCAAGGAAGGATGAAGATTAGGCAATGAGGTGTCCTGGAGGGTAAGTGAAGAAAGTGCTTCAGTTGTATTGAGGTCAGGTAATTTAAAAATGCACAGTTCATTGGTGATTTTTATGAGCATCCTCTCTAGAGGGGTAGGGATGATTAGAGTGGGGTGATGAGCAAATGTGAGGTGGTAAGGACAACGGACATTGCTTCGAGGCATTTTGCTTTGTAGGGAAATAGGGTCAAGGAAGGGTCGTTTTTAAAGATACATACTGGGGGAGTTTTGTTAATTGACTGATTAATTAATTAAATGACCAGTTAGAGGCCAGGTGTGGTAGCTCATGCCTGTAATCCTAGCACTTTAGGAGGCCGAGGCTGGAGGATTGCTTGAGGCCAGGAGTTTGAGACTGGCCTGAGCAAGAGTGAGACACCATCTCCACAAAGAATAGAAAAATTAGCCAGACGTGGTGGCACACTCCTGTAGTCCCAGTTACTTGGGAGCCTGAAGCAGGAGTATCGCTTGAGTCCAGGGGTTCAAGGTTGCATTGAGCTCTGGTGACGGCACTGCACTCTAGCTTGGGTGACAGAGCGAGACGCCGTCTCAAAAATCTCAAATAAATAAATGATCATGTAGAAAAGGAGAGATTAATGATGCAAGGGGAGATGGGGAAGAAGGGAGGCAAGTCCCAGAAGGTGAGGGCGTGGGATCAAGGCTCAAGGAAGGCAGAGAGAATGTGAGTTGATGCAGGTAGGTGGTGGATTTGGTGATGAGAATATGAGGAGGTGCTGACCATCTTTTTCTTTTCTCTCTAGGAAAATGTAGACATGGTCATGGGCTAGAGGGCTGGAGTAGGTCTGAGGTGAGAGCAGACAGTGTGAAAAGAGAAGATAAATGCAGTAGGTAGGTACAGGATTGCCAGGAAGTATTGAGTGCCCACAGGAGATTTGTGGTCACCAATTTGAAATGAGACCAGTCAGCCCACTTATGTGTTTTTCTTAAGCAGTGTTCAGCTGCTTGGGTGCAGGCCTGGAGTACGTGGATAGTTGTTTTTAAGCAGTGTTGAAGGAGAGTAGAGTGACGGAGTTATAGATGTTTGCAAAGGAATGATGATGTTGATGACCTTGGAATCTAATGTGGGTTAGAGGAATAGTGAGGATGAGAGGGTGATGATGGTAAAAAAAAAAGTGGAGGTCAAGTTCCCTGAGATTCGAAACTGAATTAAACCTGATCTTCCAAGGTCCCAGCTCCCCCTATTCTGTTAATATACGTAAAAAGAAAATAGATTCTTTCAGTTGGAATAGTTATAGCTAGTAATTGCTTTTCTTGAGGATTTACTAAGTGCTGAGTGCTGAACAAGTATTAATCACATTATGTGCTGAAGACAAATAACCTTTTGAGGTAGGTAATGTTATCTCTGTTTTACAGATGAGGAAACTTGGGCTTTAAGAGGCCAAATAACTTGCCCAGGGTCACGCAGCTAGTAAGTGGCAGAGCCAGGACTTGAACCAGTTCTGTTTTGCTATAAAGACCAAGTTGTTAACCACTGTTTATTACTGCTGTTTCCCCCAACTCATTGGAATATGGACAACTTATCTATCCTTTAAAATGTACCATGTTTAATTATATCTAAATTAATTTTATCTTTTCCTTAGAAAACAAGAATAGAAAATTCAAACATTTATTGAAGCTTGAAGTTAAATAAAATGGGTAAAAGTGAGTTAGGGACTTGGATAAACCAGAAAATATCTGCGTTGTTTAATGTGGATTGACGATATTTGGTTTCAGTCCATTTTGTGGCCCCAGGGTGGCCAGATCTCTCCCTTTCTCAAGTTAGGCTGGAGATCTGGATTTTTATGGGAAGATTTTGAATATTTAAATGTTGGTAACTAATTATAATTTTTAAAAACTCTGGCAGATCAAACAAAACCAGCCTGAAGGCCCCATTTGGCCCCCTAGCAATAAGTTGTGAACTCTGATTTAAAATATAATTTTTTTCCAATAAATAATAAAAATAAGTAATTTAAGTATGAGAATTTTAACTAGGCCAGATACAGAGGATTGAGTTTTTTATTCAAATATAGGTAATGTAGATACACTCAGAATATGGAATTAATGGTGGTATTGAACAAAGTAAGTTGAAAATAGAAAAATGGTAAGTTATAACAGAGAGTTGGATCATATTATGGAAAAGTAGGTAGGAGTTGTAAAAGTTTAGTGTCTCACAGTTAAAGAGTAGTCCTTGCAAGTAAAAGCAGCTATTTTAGCTGTTGTGAAAATAGTCTTAAGGCTCAAAAGACAGGGCTCCTGGTCCAGACTCTGTCAGTCATGCTCTCTGTGAGTTTTGTTTGGGTTCTTTTCATCTCTAAATATGTGTCTAGGTTCATCCTACAAAGGGGCATTGTAAAAATATTGAAAAATAACTGGAAGGCCTTGAGGAAAAAAGTTTTGTAGAAATGTGAAATTATTTTCAGACTAAAAGCTAAATGTATGCCAGTGAAAAGAATGAGAATGTTTTGGGGGTAAGAAACAGAAGAGATTTTGTTAACGTTTTATGAAAGTGTAGTTATTATTCTGGTACCTCTTAAGCTTCAAGATATCTACTCTGTTCCTATTATGACTTTTATAAAAAAACAAACAACTTCTATTTTCAGTTGGATGGATTTATTGCTCGAAACTGGGCCAGTCAAAAATCAGCTTTGGGAAGTGCTCTTGATCCACTTGCTGATAAAATACTTATCAGTATCTTATATGTTAGCTTGACCTATGCAGATCTTATTCCAGGTAAGAACGCCGTCATGCGTGCTTTTAAATAGCACAGGGAAGAATGACATTAGTCAGTTTAGGACTTCTCTTGAGAGACAAATAAATTTTGTTCCAAAAATATATTTTTCAATTTTAAACTGTTTCCCTAATTTTAAACTATTGAACTGTTTTGATTGCCAACATCTTTGTTTCTTTTAGAGTTTATATCCGAGTTGTACTAATAGAATTAGTGGTTTTCTTAATAAGATTGTTTAATATTAAAATTGAACAAATATTTCACAATGCCTATTCATATTACTGTAGAATTTTTGAGGTGCTATGTTATATATTTTTAGTGCCTCACTTTTTGAAAGCAATTTAAAGTTTTCCTAAGTCTGTTACTACCTTTATTAAATATAGTTTAGTCATAATAAATGAAAACTCTGAAATCCTGAAGATGTCTATAAAACTTCACATCATTATTATTATTTAGACCCTATTATTCAATATTCAAATCATACATATAGTTTGTACATTATCTGAATACTTTTTCTAACACAATTTTGTGATCTTTTGCTTTGTATTTTGCATGTGCTTTTCTGGTTGTTCGTTTTCTACTTCAGTTGTATTTCTTAATCAGTTTTTCTTCCTTGATCCAGATTAAACTGTTTTTTTCCCCTGGGGTTAGAAATCAGATCTGAGAACAAAGAAGCTGCCATGTGGTCCTTCAGTATCATGCTATTATTGACATTTGATAGGAAGGAGTGTAGTGGTGTTTTGGTCCAATGTAATCTTACCAAGCTGGAAATTCCTTTTCTTTTTTACCATTAGCCTTCTAAGCTTTCATGCCACATTAAAAAATAAATTGGACTAATGTTTACATTTATATGCTTTTTTGAAAGTTGGAATCAAGGTGTATATATAGTTGGGGGTGGGGGCTTGAAGGGACAGTGGTATTCTCATTCTAATGACTGTAGGGAATTTTTAGGAAAAATCCTATAGAGCATTCTGGTGACATTCAAAATTCAAATGATCTGTGTATGTATGTTTTCATATCTCTCATTTTGAATGTTACATTTTATTATGTTTTGTTTTACAAAGTTTGGGTCATTTCCCTATTAAACATAGAAATTATTTGAAGTGCAGGTGTCTTTTTTATAGAATGTCTTTTTTTTTTTCCCTTTGAGTAGATACTCAGCAGTGGTATTGCTGGATTGAATGGTAGGTCTACTTTTAGTTCTTTGAGGAATCTCTATACTGTTTTCCATAGAGGTTATACTAATTTACATTCCCACCAACAGTATGTAAATGTTCCCTTTGGCTACATCTGCACCAACATTTGTTGGTTTTTTTTTTTTTTTTTTTTTTGAGACAGAATCTCGCTCTGTCACCTGGGCTAGAGTGTCATGGCGTCAGCCTAGATCACAACAACCTCAAATTCCTGGGCTCAAGTGATTCTCCTGTCTCAGCCTCCCAAGTAGCTGGGACTACAGGTGTGCACCACAATGCCCAGCTAATTTTTGTATTTTTTGTAGAGATGGGGTTTTGGTCTTGCCCAGGCCGGTCTGGAACTCCTGGCCTCAAGCGATCCTCCCACCTCAGCTTCCCAAAGTGCTAGGATTACAGGTGTGAGCCACCGTGCCCAGCCCAGATTTGGGATTTTTTTTTTTTGGCTTAGAATTCCTTCACGTATTTGGACTCTTTTGGTTTCATGTGAAATTTAGGATTTTTTTTTCTAATTCTGTGAAAAATGACATTGGCATTTTGATGGGAATTGCTTTGAATCTTTAAATCACTTTGGGCTGAATGGACATTTTAACAATGTTGATTCTCCCAATCCATGATCATGGGATGTTTTCCATTTGTTTGTGTCATCAATTTCTTGTCAGTATTTTGTAGTTCTCCTTGTTGAGATCTTTTACCTCCTTGGTTAAGTATAATGTATTCCTAGGTATTTTATTTTATTTTTTGCAGCTATCATACATGATACATGAGTTCTTAATTTGATTCTCAGCTTGACTGTTATTAGTGTATAAAAATGGTACTGATTTGTGTGCATTAATTTTGTAACCTGAGACTTTACTGTATTTATTTATCAGTTCTAGGAGTCTTTTGGAGGAGTCTTTAGGGTTTTCCAGATAAAAGACCATATCATTGGCAAGCAAGGATAGTTTGACGTCCTCTGTTCTGATTGAGATGTCCTTTATTTCTTTCTCTTGCCTGATTGCTCGACCTAGGACTTCCAGTATTATGCTGAATAGAAGTGGTAAAAGTGGACATCCTTGTCTTGTTCCTGTTCTCAGCTTTTCCCCATTCAGTATGTTGTTGGTTGTGGGTTTGTTGTGTATGGCTTTTACTATTTTGAGATGTTTCTTCCATGTCTAGTTTGTTAAGAGTTTTCATCATGAAGGGGTGTTGGATTTTATCAAATGCTTTTTCTGTGTCCCTTGAGATGATCGTATGGTTTTTGTTTTTAATTCTGTTTATGTGATGAATCACATTTATTGATCTCTGTATATTGAACCATCTTTGTGTCTCTGGGATAAAACCCACTTGATTGTGGTGAATTATTTTTTTGATGTGCTGTTGGATTCTTTCTACTATTATTTTGTTGAGGATTTTTGCATCTGTGTTCATGAGGGATATCTGTTTGTAGTTTTCTCTTTTTGTTGTGTCCTTTCCTGGCTTTTGTATCAGGGCAATTTATTTTTAGAGAGAAGGTCTTGCTCTATCATCCAGGCTGGAATGCAGTGGTGCGATCATAGCTCACTACAACCTCGAACTCCTGGGCTCAAGTGATCCTCCTGTCTCAGCCTCCTGAGTAACTAGAGCTACAGGTGCCACCACACCTGGCTAATTTTTTAAATTATTTTTTGTAGAGACAGGGTCTTGCTGTATTGTCCAGGCTGGTCTGGAACTCCTGCCTCAAGCAATCCTCCTGCCTTGGCCTCCCAAAGTGCTGGGATTAGAAGCATGAGCCACCACACCCAGCCCCCAGCACTCTTAATGAACAGTAAACTTACTGCAATGTCAGTATACACACAGGTCCATTTCTGGATTGTCTGCCTTTTTCCCCATTGATTTGTCCTGTCTTTGTACCAGTGCCATTCTTACTTTTTTTTTATTTTCTAGAGACAGGGTGTCACTTTGTCATCTAGGCTGGAGTGCAATGGTGTGATCATAACGCACTGCAGCTTCGAAAACCCGGGCTCAAGCAATCCTGCCTTAGCCTCCTGAGTAGCTAGGACTACAGGTGTGTGCCACCACGCCCAGCTAATTTTTTAAATTTTTCTCTTTTTTTTTTTTTTTTAGAGAAGGGGTCTTACTATGTTGCTCAGCCTGGTCTCTCAAACTCCTGGCCTCAAGCAATCCTCCTGTCTTGGCCACCCAGAGTGCTGGGATTAGGCATGTGAGCCACTGTACCTCGCTGACATTTCTCCATTAAAGATGATGTTTCCTGTAGAGTTTTGTAGATACCCTTTTTCAGGTTAAGAAGTTCACTTCTGTTGGGAGTTTGTTAAGAGTTTTTATCACAATCGGATATTCAATTTTATCAAACTCTTTTTTGTGTGTGTATTATGATTGTTATGTCATTTTTTTCCCTTCAAGCTGTTAAAGTGTGGTGAATTATTGTCTTGTAATGCTAAAACCACCTGCAATTCCTGGTATAGATCCAACATGGCCATGATATATTATAAAGATATTGCTGGATTTGGTTTGCTAACATTTTATTGAAGATTTCACATTTAGATTCATAAGACTGTCTTGGAATTCTTTTCTCCAAATATTCTTATTAGGTTTTAGTATCAAATTTATAACTAGCCTCATAAAATAAGTTACTGACTGCTTTTTTCTCCCTTTCCACTTTAAATGTTTGGTCGAATTTGTTGAAGCCTTGAGTTTTCTTTGGGGAAGAGTTTTAAAATAATTTATTTTCTTTGTTACAGGACAATTCAGGTTTAATAGTTTTTTGACCATTTTGTAAGCTGTGATGTTTTTCTAGGCATTTGTCCATTTCATCTACATTATAAAAACTTATTGTAAGGTATTTATAGTATCTTCATTAACGTTTTGATGTCTGTAAGGTATATAGCAACGTCTTCCTTCTCATCTCGGTTGTTATTTGTCTCTTTGTTTTTTTTCTTGATCAGTCTTGCCAGAGGTTTGTCAGTTTTATGAATCTTTTCAAAGAACCAACTTTGGAGTTTCTTTCCTTTTTCTGGAGACAGGGCCTCACTTTGCCATAACTCAGGCTGGAGTGCAATGGCGTCATCATAGCTCACTGCAACCTCAAACTCCTGGACTCAAGTGGTGCCTCCTGCCTCAGCCTTCTGAGTAGTTAGGACTACAGACACATGCCACCACATCCAGCTAATTTTTAAGTTTCTTGTAGAGATGGAGTCTCACTATGTTGCCCAAGCTGGTCTTGAACTCCTAAGTTCAAGAGATACTCCCAACTCAGTCTCCTAAAGTACTAGGGTTACAGGCATGAGTCACCATGCTTGGCCTTCTTTGAGTTTTGTTTGCTGTTCTTTTTCTGAATTCTTTAGATCAATTCTGTCTAGTAGAAATAAAATGGGAACTACATATGTAGTTAAAAATTTTCTAGTAGCTATATTAAAAAAATAGGAGGAAATAGATGAAAATAATTTTAATGATATATTTTATTTAATACATTGTATCAAAAATATTGTTTCAACATGTCATCAATAAAAATTATTAATGAGCCAGGCACAGTGCTTTGCACCTGTAAATCTCAGGCTGAGGTGGGAAGATCATTTGAGGCCAGGAGTTTGAGACCAGCCTGGGCAATATAGCAAGACCCCATCTCTAAAACCATAAAAAAATAGTAATGAGATTTTTTTTTTATACTGTGCCTTCAAAATCTGGTGTGTAGTTTGAACAGTGCAGCTATAGATGGATACTTAACTCATTGTTTATCAGCTTTTCTAAAATATGCATGTTAGGCTATATATATTCCCCTAAGTATCACTTTCTGCCATCTGCTGCATTTGCTGCATCTCCTATGTTGATATTAGTGTTTTTGTCATTGTCCAGTATAGAATATTTTCTCATTTCCATTATGATTCTTGACCTCTTGTGTTAGTAAATATTTCTTAATTTGTTGCTAATTTGTGGGGATTTTCCAGGTTATCTTTTTGTTACTGATGTCAAACATGATTACCTTGAGCAATACCAACTGTAGGATCTCAGTGTTTGGTATGTAGACCTTCACTTAATCCCCACTGCACTCCAGTGCCCCTGGGTTCGGAGAGTATCACGTAGAGTGGGGGTTGGCAGACTTTCTCTGTAAAGGGACAGATAGTAAGTATGTCAGGCTTTGTGGGCTGTGTAATCTCTGTCACAGCTACTCATCTTTGCTATTGCAGTGTGAAAGCAGCTATGAAAAGTATATAAATTAATGAGTGTGAATATGTTCCAGTAAAATTTTACTTACAGACATTGGAAATTGAATTTATAGAATTTTAATGTGTCACAAAATATTACTCTTTTGATTTTTTTCCCCCAAACTATTTAAAAATATAAAAGCCACTCTTGACTACAGGCACCTGTAGCCCTGTTGCAGAGGCCTAGTGGAAAGGTGTTAGGAAGGTGTAGGGGCTGGGGACCTAACCGCTCTTTACACGGAACTTCAGGGTTCCCCTGGTGCTGCGCTGGCCTGGCGCTTGTGAGCGTTCCTTCCTGAAGGACTTGGGTTTCGGCTCTCCTTACCTATTACTATTAAGCTTAGTTTAAACTTTGAAATTTGTCTTTTCTACTCATTCTCTTTGTGACGTTACATCCTTTCATTCCTTTACTCCCATTTTAGAAGGGTTTTATAAAGTAGAGAAATTCACAGATGCAGTGTCGCATGTTCTTTTATACTATATTTTTGAAAAGTCGCATCTACTTTGATTTTAATAGTGTCGTTTCTTTAGGAGTAAGAAATTTGCTTTCTTCCTTAGCTTGAATAATAAATCATTCTGCTTATTTTTTTTTTATGGGAGGGGGAGAAGGATGAAAAATTATTTGACTTGTTATATTTATTAGAATGTAGATTACGAATCTAGGATAATTTCTACTTGCTTATGGGCATTTGTTTTGCCACATTTACCACCTAGCCACATTTTTTGTATCGTTATATCATTTCTGGCTTACCACATGGTAAATTCTTACTTCTGGTTTCGATTTCTAGAATAATTCCATTAAATGTATTGTTTTCAGTGCAAAAACCAATGATATGGATGTTGACCACTTTTAATATGTAAAAATGAGTTGATTTTATGAAGTATTTCCCTTTAACTCTAATAAAATTTGCTCATGATGTACCTCTTTGTTGCAAACATTGCCTATGTTTCAGACGGAGTTAGCAGGTAGGGAGGAAGACTGTGTAGCAATCCCTGACACATTTTACACTGTGCTATCCACCACTAACACACTGTCATATTCTAGCAGGCAGAATGAAAGCTGCTTTGCCCCTGGAAGAAAAAAGAAGGGAAGGCCAGAGAAAAAGTCAGAGAACTAGATAAAATTGCCCAGAGAACCACAGTAGGAGCCCATATACTGTCGGTCGGAGGAGACTACTTTCTGCAGAAAGGCCCCAGCCTGGCCGTGCATGCAGATCACCCAGGGAGCTTTCATCTAGACTTTTAGGAAGCTCTCCCGAGGTGATTTTTGGGTAGGCAGTTAGTTTTGAGAACCCTTGATTTTGTTAACAGCCCTTTCCGCCACCAGACTATTACAGACGATAAACTGAGTCCAGAGATGCAGATTGCTAGGTTGGAGCCTAATGCACTGACCCAAGCATAGTCTGTGAATTCTGTACACCTACATCCTTGCATAGATACAGTCTTGCATGTTCCTCCATGTTTATGTGAGTTTTAATTTGCATGGGCTTGCTGCATTTTAAAAGAGTGGTTGTTGTTAGATTTTGCCAGCTAATGATTGCAGTAGAAAAGTTTGTTTTGCAGGTACAAAAATGCTTCTAAAAATCATGGTTCACTGTTTTCTTGCATGGCTTCTGTGGGCATATCTTCTGTTTGTTCAAAATACCATGACTTGAATTGAGAAGCATTTTCTCTTTGGAATGGTGTTATCATCAAGGAGTAGGCCAAGGATCAACATTTTCATCATTTCTATGACCAGCAGAGATTTAAATTTCAAATCTGTAATTAATTAGATTTTCTTCAAATTGCAGAGCCAATAGAAATGTCAGAACTGAAGAGGACCGTGAGTACGGCCTCAAGTAATTCGTAAGAATTGTTTGAAAGTATTATGGAAGGGATGTGCATGATCCTTTTATTTTAGTAATGGAAACAATTTGATCTGAGTGTTTGAACTCAGGATTTTTTTCCCTTTTAAAAATTCTTTTTTTTTTAAATTTTGGATCTTTCAAAAGCATATTTTTTCCTTATAAAAGATACATATTCACAGTTTTAAAACTTCCTGCAGTGCAGAAGGATATAAAGTAAAGCAAATTCTCCGCCCTCTCATTCAAGAAGGGAGTAGGGGTTCCTTGGGCATGAATCTGAAGTACACTTCTGTTGGCACTGGGTCAGGGGACAGTGCTGTAAAACTGAGGAATGATGAGAAAACTGTTGACGAGCTGAATCCGTTGAATGACTGGGCAGGCAGAAAAATAGCAGTTGCCTGGGTAGGAACTGGCTGCATAAGAATAAAATATTTTTGTTTGTGCACAAATAGTGTACATACAGCAAATTTGACTCTTGAGAGAGTAGTCTAAAGTGCAGAAGCATTCAGTGAGAGCTCCTAGGACTCCAGAAGAGCTTGAGTCCTCCGACATCCTTCCCAGCTTCCTTATCATCTCTCTACATGTAATTCTGTTGAGCATGGTGATCTTTTTTCCAAGTCCACAAAGCTGAGATTAACAAAGGAGATGGAGTAGAGCAGAGCCGACACTGGTAACTGGAGATTTATAGCTTAAAACATATGCAAGAAAAAACAAAAAGAGATGAGAGGATCAACATTCTGAAAGGCAGACATATACTGCACTGCACTTTCTTTCGAGGGCAGGTTAAAGAAAAATATAAAAATCAGTGGTTCACTGTAGGGATCCTAAACTGTCCGTGTTTATTATGAAACTTTCGTTTATGGAAAACACCAGTTTATGATAAGACTGAATGAGGTTTTATTGTATTCATAATGTTTATTAGTAATTTTCAAAATCTCAATTAAAATTATTTTATATTTGATTTTCAGTTCCACTTACTTATATGATAATTTCAAGAGATGTAATGTTGATTGCTGCTGTTTTTTATGTCAGATATAGAACTCTTCCAACACCGGTGAGTTTGTTTCCAAAAAATATTCTCTTAGCATTACATGTAACTTAAGGGAAAGAAAAAAAAGTAAAGATTCACTGTATTTATGGTTATAGGATTAATTTATGGCAATTATTTTTTGATCCATTTACCAGGAATTTAATTGTTATTTGAATCATCCAGTAAAGTGGTTGTTTAGTAAACACATGAGTAGTCAATTTTAAAAAGGTGTCTTTCTGTTTTAAGCCGAAGTGAAACCCCAACCAGCAAACCTCCATCCCTAGCAGCAAACTTTGTTAGAGGTGTTTTGCATAGATCCAAGCCATAGTGTTGTCTAATTTAGCCTCTACTGTGGATTGTCCAGAATTGGTTTTTAAAATTACAGTTGTAGGAACATGGGATGGTTTGCTTGTGTATTTGTTCATTGGTTCTATAAATATTGGAGCACACAAGCATAGTGTAATAATCTCTTTTGACTCCCAGTCTAGTGAAAGTAGAGCAGTATTTTATTCATTTTGTTTTTAAAAAATTAATAAAAGAAAATAGTGATAGGGAGTTTTGAGTTTAGTAGGAAGATGTGATCAAGCAAACTTCATGATAGCTATTTAGAATTTTACAGGAATGAGAAATCTAGAAATTTTTAAAAATCAATTTTCACTTTGTATTGAACGTATGTATGTATTGAATGTGTGTGTGATTTATAAAGAATGTAGATACTACCCATTTAACATAAAGAAGATAAATACAGAGGGTTTATCTAGCATAGGGCCAGGCAATGGTAAGTAATCAGTAACTGTTACCTACATATAACAGCAAAATGTTTGTTTTAAACTTGAACAATAAATTGAATACTTTATCTGTTTTGGTCCTTTGCCAGCGAACACTTGCTAAGTATTTCAACCCTTGCTATGCTACTGCTAGGTTAAAACCAACATTCATCAGCAAGGTAAGAGATACACAACATCCTTTTAAGTTATTCCTTTGTGAATTCTATGTTTTTTTGTCCCCCCTTCTGGCATGTGCCTCTAGGTATAGCTTTGTGAATTTTATTATAATGAATATAAACCTCAGGCAAGAGTAGCTGAAATGAGACAAATTTAAATGCCCTGACTATAGGGGATAGTGGGGTAGGGCAGACAACTTTAACCCAGTTCTTTGTCCTCTGAGCTTTTTGGATCTTTGAATGGTCGGTGTATGTTGTGCCATGGGTTAGTGGTCTGAGTGTTTAAGCTCTGAATGAGGTAATTGGGCCATGTTTAGGAAAGGGGAAGGGAACTGAAGTGGAAGTTCTTCTTGACTGAGATGCAAAGAGATGATGTAGGGTCCCTTGTGGTTTCACTGCCTCCCTCCCTGTGGTGAAAACACCATATAGTATGGTTCTTTGATTTTCAGATTGACACTCTTAAGTGGAAGGAGGTTGGAGAAAGTTTTATTGACTAATGAACAACTGCTACTCTTAGTTGTCCATTCTGTTTTCCTGAGCCTTCAGGCCAATCTTTGCACACAAAAAGGATACTATTAGTGCCTCTCAAGCCATATTTGTCTTTCCAAGAGCCTTGTTAAGTTTGCTCAAGTCATTCTTGTTAGGGTGGAAAGGCTAGTGGGTGCTCACAGCGCGGGTGAAGAAAGATTTCTCATGCTGAGATTAAGATATATAAAAGTAAAAAAAAGTTTATTTTATCCTTTTAGAGGAGGGAGAGAGAGAGGGAGAAATAGAGAGAACGGAAAGGGGGGAAAGAGAGCAGGGAGATGGTGTGGCATCCCAAAGAAAGAGAAGGGAGTGCCAGCATGAGGCCAGGTGGCTTGCTACTTTTATGAGGACAAAGAGAAAAAAACAGTGACAGCTGCCAGTTGATAACAAAAGCAGCGGCAGGCAGGGAACGAAAACTGCAAGGATGTCAAGGTCCACGGTTGGTTTCCTCCCTTTCCTTGGAGAAGCGATTATCACAGGAGATGTGACTCTATCCTCTAGATACGGTTGAGGCTGTAGTTCCTTTTCCTGCTGTTTACTCAGGAACTCTGTAAAAGCAGATTCTCAGAAAACAATTTTGAAAGAGAGATTTACATCTCTTTTCTGTTCATGTAGCTCTTCATAAGTTGTGCAAAACAGAACTGCAGGGTACCTGTTGGTGAGAGAACTGAGGATTGATCTTTAACTTTTCCTGGGGAAATTGTAGGATTAGGTATTTTCCTGTTATTTTCACAAGGCCATCCCCTTCAATTCTTTCGTCCCATCTTTAATGACAGGGATTTAGCAGGTTAGGGCTGCTCATCGTCTTTGGAAAAGAGGGGTGATTGCTTTTATACAAAGGCTCCCTACGGTGGACTTTAACCTATGTACATAGGGTTCTTTTGGCTTAGTGACTTGTATTTATATCAACTACAGCAACTTTATATGTAGTACTATGTAGAAAGTGGCTTAAAGAGGTGCAGGGGCAAATGCCTCAAACAAACCCTTGTTCTTGTGGGAAGTCCTCCAGACAAAATTTATTATTTTGTTTTAAAAAGGAAGCAGACTCTTTGTCTTTGGGCTGCAGAATGGATGGTAGAAGAGAGGTGCTTCTCTACACACATCACCCCCTGTTTCATACTTCACAGACTCCTTCACAGAAGGATTCCCATGATGACAGAGTATTGCTCGTTCTCTTCTAGTTCTAGTTCCAGTGTATTTCTAGTTCTCTTTTCTTTTTTTCCCTAATGCTGTATTTTAGGGTAGGGAATCTTACTCATTTCCTTCAGAAGAGGCTCTTTTATGGAGATGATGGCATTTTAATTTTCTGCCCTCACAGGGGTTGACAGGTAGGCAAGTGAAAGGATCGTTGGCTGAGGCACCAGGGAAGCTGGGTTCCAGCTTTGGTTCTGTTGTCTGCTGTGAGAGCAGGTAACTAACTCATTGCCCATCGCCCTCACTTGTAGAGGGCAGCTGTGCAGACAGACGGGTCAGTTAGTGAAGTTGACCCTTCTGTGTGTTCTCACCTGTGAATGCCAGTCTTTGGCAGGGATGTTGTAGGTCAACATCAAGCACGCTGAGGGTATGTCATGTTACAGTGTGATGGGATGGGCTATGCCTTTGTCACAGAAGCTTGAAATAAGGTCCAGTTGGCACTATTCATTTATAACTTGTTCCTTTTTTTCCTCTTAGGTAAACACAGCAGTCCAGTTAATCTTGGTGGCAGCTTCTTTGGCAGCTCCAGTTTTCAATTATGCTGACAGCATTTATCTTCAGATGCTGTGGTAAACTAAATTTAGAATTACTCTCTGAGAATGTCAACAGAATGATTTATCGTGACAGCCCTGGAATGACTTTGTTCTTTAGTGTTTATTGAGCACTGACTGGGTGAAGCTGTGGCTACATTTTATTACCGTTACCATTCTTAAGAAGCTTACTATCAAGGATGGGATGTAGAAGTTAGCTTTCATGTAAATTAAAAGGGATGAGAGGTACTGATGATGTGTTACGGTTTCAGAGGAGGAAAAGATACTTCCAGGTGGGAAGAAGGGGGAAAGTTTCAGGGAAGAAGGGGCATTTGAGCCACGAGGTATAGGTGGATTTTGTACAGGAAGAGACTGAAGGGAGGCCATCAGGTATGGGACGATCCTCAGCAAAGTCAGGGAGTAGCAGTGGGGAGAGGAAAATGAGTTCATCCTATTGAAAAGGGGTATAGTGGGAAAACTGAAGAAAGGAGTTTGAATTTTATTATCATAATTGCTTATAGTCTTGAAAATGAGTCAAATTCAAACTTTCAGAGTTCAAAGTGTGCCACATTGATATTGAAGTATTATATTTTAGTATATTTTTAACTCTATAATTAGAACTTTTTAGCTTGATACAGTCTGGGCCAGAAAATCATTGGTCAGTTAAGCCAAAGAATCTTTAAAAGGGATACATACTCTAAACTTTTTTCTTTTTAGAGATAGGGTCTCACTCTGTCACCCAGATTGGAGTGCAGTGGCCCAGTCATAGCTCATTGTAACCTCAAATTCCTGGGCTCAAGTCATCCTCCTGCCTCAGCCTCCCAAGTAGCTAGGACTACAGGCATGTGCCACCTCACCTGCTAATTTTTTTTTTTTTTTCATTTTTGTAGAGACAGGGTCTCACTATGTTGCCCAGGCTGGTCTTGAACTACTGGCCTTAAGTGATCCTCCTTCTCTGCCTCCCAAAGTGCTGGGATTATAGGCGTGAGCCACTGCGCCCAGCCTAAACTTCTTATTTTAATCTAAAACATAAAAGTATACATTCATTCTGATTCATCCTGTACCTTCCAATATAGGATGAAGGCTTTTTTAAGTATAGATTCATCAATGGGAGTTTTTTTTCTTTCTTGAATAAACTACATAACACAACCTCTCTGATTTTCATTTTTTACTTTTATAAGGTGACGCAAGAATTTAAGACATTTGCAGAGCAATCTGAGTGTAGTAACTAGATTTTTACCATTTTTTTCCAGTGTTTTTATGATCATCCTGCCTACTATTAAGTCTTTCCAAAACATCCAACCTAGTTCTCAGAAATAGCAGTTGTTCTTACACGTATGTTTCATTGGTTTATGTATGAATTTAGAATATCCAACTGGCATGAACAGGTTTGGGATCAAACAAAAATGAATCTAGATGATTCTGTCTCACCTGGCGGAAGCAGAAGTGTGTGGGTGCTGTAAGCATTTAGCATGCCATGGGCACCACCACCCCTGTCATTTCAAGGAGAGTCTGGTTAAGGAAAAATTGGTAAAGAAAGCTGAAACATATTTAAAATGACTCAGATATCCTTAAAATTCTTAAAACCTGCAGGAAATAGAATCTAATGTTCTGAGCAGCATGGAGCCATGGAAAGAGAAACATGGGCTTTAGAGGTGAAACCAGGCCAGGCTCAGACATAGTTCTGTCATGGGCCCGAGCAAGTCTTCAGGGTTTCCATTTCCTCGTCTGTAGGTTGAGGTTGCAGTGAGAATAAAATGAGAACGTAAGACACCTAGAAGACTGTTGTTTACATTACTAATTCCAATGAAGTCTTAAAGAAAAGCAATGTATTTAGATTCTTGTAGTTAACAAAAAGTTACTCCACACAGCCTTTGTACTTTTTAAATCTTTTACATGTATTCATTGTGATTCTCCGTGTTACTATGTTTTAGACTTGACAACTGAATTTTCTTTCTCTCCTTCCATGAAAGGTGTCTTACAGCTTTCACCACAGCTGCATCAGCTTATAGTTATTATCATTATGGTCGGAAAACTGTTCAGGTGATAAAAGGCTGATGAAAGTCATCCATCACCATTAGCAAGGAAGCAGCATACGTCATCGGCAGCAGGGCCCGTGGAAATCTACAGGAGTTTCCCAATTTTGGTGTTCAGCTTGGAAAAGGACTTGTCAGAACAAACCATGTCATCGAAATTTAAGTAATGTGCATTGAAAATAAGCTTGATCATGTGATCATGGGCATATGCAGAATTTTCAATGTATTTTTAAATACAAATAAAACTATAATTTAGAATTTTTAATGTTAGGTTTCTTGATTAATACATGAGAGATCAGTTATTCTAATTATTGTCAGCCATTTTTATATGGTTTTTAAAAATGTACTCCAGAGCCTGGAAACTGAAGAATTGACACCTCTCTTAAAATAGAATTTAAACTGCTCCCAAAGCACTAAGGAATTTCCTGGGTTTAAACATCTGTCCTACACAACTTGGCTATACATTTTTATGTTTGATTTTTAGATCTATGCATACATTAACAGTTCATGTGGTTAACATTTGATCATTTAGAGTAATGAAAATGGAGTTAGTGTAAGTGGATGAAGTAAAGTTGTAAAGGGATTTAAAATGCAGTAAATTTTGAAAATAGTAAGATCAAACAAAATAGAAGGTGTTGAAATTCATGTCCAGTAGTCTTCCAGCCTCTCAGGTGCCTAATAGTTTATGTATCAGGATAACAAGTAACAAAGGTAGTTGAAATATGAGAACATGTCCATTAGCCTTTGCAGCTAAAAGGCAGTGAGTTACATCATGCCGTCCCTCTGTTTCTAACGTAGCAATGTTTGTTTGATATTGGAACCTGTACTCATATTTTGTGTAAATAATATGAAGCTGTATATTTTTCAAAAGTTTTTTTAAACTTTGGGAAATCTTCTTTTGTTAAGAAGTTAAGGAATAAAAGAGCTGGAAAAAAATTGTACTTTTAACTTGGTTTGTTCCATGTAGCATACTTATCTTCTGCTGTTGCTTACATTTTCTGATTCACTTACATTATAAAAATCATTGGTTTGGGACGACCATCTAATTTAAAAGACATTCTCACTACGCCATGATGTTTGAGACAGTGGGGGATATTGGGAGGGGGATGTCCCCGGGAAGACAGTGTGGAGTGCTGGTTGCTTTCTCTGAACAGTAGAGGCCTATTGCTGCCCAATGTCCCTGGTTTTAACCCAAGTGTAATGTGGACTCATACAGTGAAATTATCCAATCACAACCTGCTGAGCTGTGTTAAAATGAGAAGTTATAAGAAAAACTCATGCGTCTTGGTGACAGCATTCTACATCACCGTGCCCCTCTGTGGCTTGCTGATGGCTTCCTGGCTTCCTTGTTCCCAGACTAGCAGCTGAGCCACTCTTGGTTTGGAGCATACTGAAGCCTGCAGCCAGGGACACTGCCACTGAATCAGATGGTGGGGGGTGGGGGGAGAAGGGGTGTGTATGGCTGGCTGTTCTAGCCCTTTGGAACCTCCCTACAGTTTCATAGCTGGGAGGTGGTAAGGCTGGAGGTTAGTCCCACTGTAGAACCACTGAAGAGGCCCAGTGAGCAAGTCTTGGCATTAATGAAGTAAGCACACAAAAATGGTTAAAGAAGGGAGGACTAGAGGTAGTTGCGGGGAAAATTAGAACTGTGCACTTTATTATACTTGTTTATGATTTAGTGTTGATACCATTGGAGTGATTTGTGGGTTGGACTCATAATCTCTTTACTGTTAAGGTCTTAATCTGGCTCTGGTTAATATACTTTTTCCGCTTCAACCCTTAGAAAAATGTTCCAAATCTACCCAGCTTTTTGTATACTGAATTATAAAACACATAAATTTTGCCAGTTTATAAAACATTGGATTTCTATTAGGCATCTTCAAGTATATTCTATGCATACAGACTCAAAACATGATGAAAATATATTTCAGTGTCTCCACAAAATAGACTTGATAGTAGGCTAAAAATAAAAAGCATTGGGATCATTTGGCCACACATCTGAGAACGTCAGTCATATTTTTGGCTTTTGCTTTGGATTTTTTTTGGTTTTTTTTTTTTTTTTTTTTTTTTGAGGCAGTTTTGCTGTGTTGCCCAGGCTGGCCTCTGGAATTCCTGGGCTCAATCCATCCTCCTGTCTCAGCCTCCCGAATAGCGGGGTACTACAGGGACATGTCACCATACATGGCTTGCTTTGCAATTTTTAAGTAGGAGCTGGTGGAGATTTTTAAAATCACTGGCCAGGCGCGGTGGCTCAACGCCTGTAATCCTAGCACTTTGGAAGGCCGAGGCGGGTGGATCGTTTGAGCTCAGGAGTTCGAGACCAGCCTGAGCAAGAGCGAGACCCCGTCTCTACCAAAAATAGAAAGAACAGCTAAAACTATATATAGAAAAAATTAGCCGGGCATGGTGGCGCATGCCTGTAGTCCCAGCTACTCGGGAGGCTGAGGCAGAAGGATCCCTTGGGCCCAGGAGTTTGAGGTTGCTGTGAGCTAGGCTGATGCCACAGCACTCTAGCCTGGGCAAAAAGAGTGAGACTCTGTCTAAAAAAAAAAAAAAAAAAAAAAGTTGGTTACATTTGTGATGAAACTGGGGATCCACGTTAAAATTTTGCAATGCTCTTTTGAAACTTCAAACACCTAGAAAGATACAGAGCAATTCGGTTATTTGTGTAAAACTCGGGATATGCTCAGTTTCTGCAACATGGTTTGGAAACAAAAGATACATGGGATTCACACTTGATTTTTTTCCTGACAGCAGAATTAAATGCTGTCGTGGGTTGAGCTGTGTCCTTCGAGGAAGGTATGTTCGAGTTCTAACACCTAGTACCTGTGCATATAACCTTATTTGGAAATAGAGTCTTTGCAGATGAAATGAAGTTAGGATGAGACCGTATTGGATTACAGTGGGCCTTAATCCAATGACTAGTTTCCTTGTAAGAAAAAGTAAATTTGAACACAGACACAGAATGCCATGAGATGATGGAGGCATAGATTGGAGTGATGTCTATAAGCCAAGGAACACCAAGGATCTCCACCAACCATCAGAAGTAGGAGACAGGCATGGAACAATTCTCCCTCAGTGCCTCTAGGAGGAATCAATCCTGCTGATACCTTGAATTTGAATTTCTGGCCTGAACTGTTAAGAAAAACAAATTTGTTACTTCAAGCCAGTTTCATCAGTTGGTGGTAATTTGTTACTACAGCAACAGGAAATTAACAAATGCTCATGTAGAAAATTAAAATCTAGAAATATGGCCTCAATTATAATTTCATAGAATCGCATTTTTCCCTGTTTGCATAAAATTGAAAAGGGTATAGTAGGCACATCTCACACTAAGATACAAATTATTGAGGTGTTGTTTGATCAACTGGGAGCAAAGAAATGCTTTGGCTTTTAGCTAGAGCCTTGAGGTTCTCTTTTGCCCATTTCTTCCCTCTAATTTAAAAAGAAGTTCCTGAAAGTAAGGTTATTATGCTTCCTAAAAAAATAATTCATTGTTTATTTGTCTACTTAGTCTCAGGTGAGATGTAGTTAACACTGACTTTTAAAAGGACAGCCTTTTCCTGTGTTTTACAAATATTCCCAGAAAACTACAATTTTAACTGTAAAGCTGGAAGTACATATTTTTTTTTTTTTTGCCATATCTTGAAATGTACCTAATAAACCCAGAAGGCCTTAGGAAACAACCCATAGCTCTTCCCCTCACTCCCAGTTCCAGGAATCCACTGGAATTGATTCCTTGAATAATACAACTCATTATTATGCCTTAGCCAGAGCTTGACCATGAAAGAACTTATGCTGGAAAGACCTGAGGGTGTCACCTCTAATACGCAGAAGAAGCTGGGTTATGCGATTTCTCTATGTTTTATCCCTTCCCACTTCCATACACTCTTCTACTGGATACTGAGGGGCACTAACTGCTGGAACACCCAAATGAAACAACACACAGGAGTTGGTGTTTGACACACACGGAAGTGGTCTGGCCATGATCATCAGGTTTCTGGGAACAGAATAAAGTGGAAGGAAGGGAAGGAAGCTGTTCCTTGGACTGAGAAACTCAGTGTGGCAAGTCCTGCGTGCCTGAGGCGTGCTGGCTTCACGGGAGTTAGAAACACTAGAGCTGACGGGGCTGTTTTTGACCGTCTGTATCTTCTTTTCTGCGCTTAGAGTTAAATTCGAGCAGGGAAAACTGGCTAACTGAAGGCCTAGGTCGCCAGCGGGTGGTCAAAGGCCGGGTTTTTGTAGGCCACCAGGTGCGTGTCATAGCGCTGCCGGTGTGGCGCCCCGGCCCGCCTGCAGAGACACGCGGACAGCACCAGGGTGCTGACCAGCAGCAGGCCAAGGGCGGCGCACAGCCCCGCGAGGACCAGCACGAAGCTGGGCTTGGTGGTGAAGGCGGCGCACGCCCTCCTCCAGCCCGAGGCCCGCGGCTGGCTCAGGCCCGCCCTGTTGGCCGCCAGCACGCACACGCGGTACGTGGTGCCCGGCGACAGCCCGTACAAGGTGTGCTGCCGGGCGGTGGCGTAGATGCCCACCACCGACTGGTTCTCCGCCCGGCCCTCTGCCGAGTAGCGGATCTGGTACCCGTGCACCACCGAGTTGGGGGCACACCAGTGGACGAGCGCCGACGTGTCGGTCGTCTCCGACACCCCCTGCAGCCGGGGAGGGTCTGGGATGGTGTCCTCCCCGCTGAGGCCGGGGCACAGGCACCGCGAGCGCCTCTGCAGCTCCGCGCACGGGGTCTGGAGGTGCTTGCAGGGGTGGTAATCACAAGGGACATCAGGGAGAGGCGCTGCCACCTCCTCCTTGATCCCCTCCTCCTCCTCACTGTAGTCGTCCAAGAAGAGGATTGGAATCCCTCCCCCAGAGGGACTCGGGTGGGAAGCCCGAGGGGTGGTCTGCGTCCTCTGGTGGGGTTGAGGCGTGCTCAAGCCGTTCCACGAGGTAGGGAAGGGGCCTGGGCGTTTGCTGGCCAATGGCGTGGAGGCAGCTGAGACATTAGGCTCCAGGACAAGCCTGGCAGCATGTTCTCCTCGGTGCTCTGTCCCGGCTGTGCTGGCAGCCCCGGGTGGAACGCTGGAGTTGCTGCGTCCTGCTGTAGAGTTGACAGTGGAGGGGGCAGTCCCCTCCCCTGCACCGCTGCGCAGCCATGCAGCTCGTGTGACGGAGTCCACACCTAGAGAGGGGGCCTCGGTGACACTCTGTTGACCTCCTGCAGGCCGAGTGGAGGGGGCTGTGCTCGGTGGGGCGGAGGGCCCCCGCGCAGTCGGTGCATAGGCCCAGTGGTCCGAGGAGGGTGGGTTTGAAGCAAGGAGGGTGGTGCTTTGGTCCGACTGGCACACACCAGGCAGCCGGGAGAGCGAAAGCGGCGCTGAGAAGGGGCCGCCGGAGCCCGCAGCGGGTGCACACACGGTGTCTGCTGCCCTAGAGGGGAAGCCAACCAGTTAGGAGATCTTGCTTCAGGGATGCTTCTGTGCTGGGCTTTGAATCCTCAATGCAGGGTGCCCTCTTGCCAAACCGTGTCAACAAGTTCCTGCCACTCCACACACATCACCTCACTGACTCTGGGGGAAACTTTTGAACGAGGCTCCCGTCATGACTCTGCCTGGGCAGATAAGGAAATGGAAGTTCAGAAAGAGGAACTAGCTGCCCAAGGTACCATGGCTAGCAAATGGTAGAGCCTAAACCCAGGTAGGCACTGTGACAAGAAGTGTAGATTGTCTAAGTGTAGTTTGTCATTTTGTCCTCGCCTGTCTGCGTACTGGCAGTGAGTACTAGTAATAATAGTCATACTCATACCACCTACCATTTCTGAATGCTTCCCATGCGTTAGGGACTATTCTTCACACTCTACTGTATCAACTAATTTAATCTGCACTACTTTATGAGGTAGGTGCTATTAATCCCATTTTACAGATGAGGGGGCGGAGGCACAGACAGGTTAAGCAACTAAGCCCAAATCAACAGTAGTAAGTGGTATGAAGCCAGACAACACAACTCCAGAGCCTGTATTCTCAACCTCTTCATTCATGTGAGAGGGAGACAGGCCCTTGACTGCTAAGGGTCTGAGTGCTTGTGTTTGGAGGCAACATGGAGGGCAGGAGACTGAGCCCCACTTCACAGCTGGGCTTGGGTGGGAGGTGAGAAAAGAATCCTGCAGGATGTGGAGGGGGTTGTCTCTCCCTGAGAGGTAGTTAGCTGGTGAAGCTGGTTTGAGAATGCTCAGAACCAGTGTCCCCAGTCCCCCAACCCCCATCCTCCTCTAGTGGCCAGCCTGGATGTCCCTACTGCAAAAACAGTTCTTTTAGCCAACAGCCTTTATAGGAATTCTTTTCTTCCTGTCCCATGAGAACCCTGGAAGCCCACTGGCCTGGGACTGAATCACCCAGGAGCAGGAGGTGAGGCTTCATCGTGGGGATTCAGTGGGGCCCGGTGGTTAACAGCAGAGTTTTTGAGGAAGATAGAAGATAGACCCTGCCTCCTCCATCCAATGGCTGCATGAATTTAATTAAGCAGGCACCTCACCTCCTTTCCCCTTATCTGTAAAACAGGGCAATGACAGCACCTGCTTTGGCAAAGATAAGCTAGCCAACTGTTCACTTAGCTCACTTCCTTTTCCTACTGGACACACAGCTAGACTACATTTCCCAGCCTCCCTTGCAGGTAGGCGTGGCCTGTTGACTGACTCCTGGCCAATGAATGTGAGTGGAAGTGAGGGTCACCACCTCCCCACCTGGCCCATTAAAAACCTCCCAATCTGCCCCGCCATGCTCTCTGCCCTTCTGGCTGGCTGGAATGGAGCCAGGGCCTCCATTGTCTGGGTTCTGGAGTGTAAGTACATGGGGTTGAGCCACCCTGCCCAACTCTGCCAACGTGTCTAGCACGGTCACATGAGCAAGATGTAACCTGGGGAACTTCAGCTCCTGAAGGCTGACACTCACTCCTCAGCCATCTGCTTTGTGAACATGTTACCTGTTTAGGATAGTTCTGTTTGCGTCCATGAGCAGCCAGGACAACTCACAGCTGCAAGTGAGGGGGTTGCCAAACAGGTTGATGGATAGGATCTGGGAGGAAGCCAGCGTCCAAGGAGGGAAGGAACTCAAGTTACAGCTGAAATACAGAAAAAAATCAATTAAGTCAGGCTTTTACAATCGGGTCAAAAATATTCCCAGAGTAGCATGGTAGTGTCATGGGAAAACCATTCTGATAGGGGGTAGAGGATGTCACTTGAGACAAAACCCTTAATGACCTCGGATTTCATTTGTTGTCATCTATAAAACAGAGCTATCAATCTAACTCAGGCAATGTCATCCCTCATATCAAATGGGGACAATACTCCCATGTCCAATGGTTATATCAAAATGAGTCTGTGATGATGAGTGTTTATAAATGTAAATCTATACACAAAAGTAGATATTGTTATTATAGATCAGTGAGAAATGACAAAGTTTTCATGAGAACACTATTGAACATATACTGCTGCAGTTGGACTGTGGCTGATGGCACTCCGTGCCAGTCCTTTGGAAGATGTCTTGCTTAAGTGCAACAATTAGCTCTTGCTAGGGAATATCCCCAAAACTTAGTAGCTTAAAACAATAAATGTTTATTCTTTTACATGATTCTGCGGGTTGGCTCAATGATTCTTGTGGTCTGGGCCAGCTCAGCCAGGGCCAGATGATCTAGGGTGGCCTCACATATACGGATGCTCAGCTGGGTGTGCTGGGACCTCTGTCCATGTGTCTCTCATCACCCAGAAGGCTGGCTGGGCTTGTTCGCATGGTAGTGGAGGGGTCCCCATGGGCTTGGCCCGTGCTCAACTGCCTTCTAGTTTCTGCTGACATCGCATTTGCTAATGTCCTACCGGCCTATGCAAGTCACATGGCCAAGCCCAGCTTCAAGACGTGTAGAATCAGATTCCTTGAAATATGAGAGGAGCTGCAATCATATTGCAAAGGGGTGTATGCACAGGGATGAGAGGAATTACTGCAGCCGTGTTTGCAAATGGTCTACCACACCTAGCAATGGCAGCTCCGCTCCCGGCTCCTTTCTCTTTCTTCCCTAGAGTCCCACAGAGTGTTTGGCCAAAACTCTCTCCACTCCCTGAATCTCCTGGCCCTCCCAGATTTGGCCTCCTTTACACATACTCAGTTAGAATTCATCCCACGCAACAGGAGCTGTGCTTTACCTTCAAGGCTCTTCCGACCAAAGCATGGGAACCTGCCTGCCGCTACAGCACTGGGGGAGAGGCTGATGTTTTGGCCGAGGAAGGACATACCACCCAGATCTGTTCTATGACTTCTAGCCAGTGGGGCGGTGACAGTTGTTACCTCTAAAATACCAGACACACATGAGTGTCATTTATATTAAAACTTAAGCCATACCCACATATGCAAGTGTATATATGTGTGCATGCTTGTTTTAGCAGATTTCACACAGCTAGAGTGGAAATCTTAGGATGAGAGTTTAATTAGTATTTTGTTACGCAAAGGGAGTGGGAGAGGAAGAGGATTACTTTTTTTTTTTTTTTTAGCAAGTAACATAGCTGGGTACTTTACATACATTATCTCATTGAGATCATTATGACAATTCAGTGAGGGAGACAGTATTTTACTCATTTTACAGATAAGGATAATGACTCGGGGTGAAAGGTGCAATTCCCGCAGGTGGTTCCTTCTGCCACCCACTGCCACCTGCACGCGATAAAGACAAGTTGCGTTGCCACCCACATGCTGACGAAGGGCCTGGCTGGTGTCCTGACACGTGGCCACATTTGGATATTTGCCACTTCTGAACTGACACAGCCCTAGTGTGGAAGAAGTCTCCATTTGCTCTCGTAAATAATCGCTATTGGAGAATCACTAATAGAAATCACAGACATTTCTATATCACTTTCCAGTAGTTTCATTTCATTTTCAATCATTAAAATTATGGAAGTTATTAGACTTACTGGTAGATTCTGTTATTTAAGGTGTTAAAGAAGCACGCACACACACACACACACACACACACACACACACACACTCGCTCTCTTGAGAAGAGTGGACCCCAGGCTTCACCAGACTGTCAAAAGGGTCATGTCATAAATGAGGATAAGACACTCCTATGTTAAAGGGGGGCCCCGAAGATGCAGACATTGATTAGAAGGCAGTAAGTCGGGTAGGAAATGAAGCGAACTTGACCTAGAGTTGCTCTAAAGGGTAGATGGGAAGGGGCTGGCAGGGAGCTGTTAGGGATGGTATTGAGACTGGGCCTGGGGACGGGGCAGCCAGACTGGAGGGCCATCTGCACCTGCAGTGGCTCTGCAACCTCTCCCACCTGGCTCTGTTGGGAATGAATTTCACCATGTTCCACATGTTGCCAAATTTCACGGTCACCCTGTCCTCGGCTGACTAGGCCTCCTGATGGCATTCGGTTCTGCCAACCATCCCCTCCCTCCTGAAACACTCTCTTCTCTTGGCCTCCAGGATGTCACACCCTCCTGGGTTTTCTATTACTCCACTGGTCACATGTTCTTGGTCTATTTTCCTGGTTCTTCCTCTTCCTGACTTTAAAAGTTAGGGTTCTTCCAGGCTCAGTTCTGGGTCTCTCTCTATACCCTCTCCGTGGTGATCTCATGAATTTCTTTGACTTCAAATATCATCTTTATATTCCCAAATTATTATCTCTGGCTCAGACCCCTCCTTCAAGCTTCAGACTGATGCAGCGTTGCAGTTAAGGTATCAGATGTGGAGCCAAACTGCCTGGGCTCAAAGTCCGACTCTACTACTTACTAGCTGTGTGAACTGGGGCCAGTTACTTAACATCTCTGTATCTCAGTTTTCTCATCTGTGAAGTGGGAATAATGACTGAATCCTCCTCCACTGGATGGCTACAAGGGTAAATACTTTAATATGTGCAATATGTGCTTAGAACAATGCCTGACACAGAACAAGAGGTTCACATTATTATTACTACCGAACGTTTCCACCGGATGTGTCATAGGTTTTCAGTATCCAGCAGGCAGTTAGATACATGAGTCTGGGGCCCATCAGAAGCCTCAGATGGAGACACCCAATGGGCCTACTCGGCACAGGGATGGAGGAGGAAGCATCAGGCTTGGGGGGATGGGATGGCGCTGGATTAGGCATGGAGGCTGAGAAATGACCCACGAAAAACTTAGAAGTGGAAATAGGCAAGGAACATAAGAAGGCCTTCTTAAGTAGGGGAGGCAACAGGGTAACATTCTGAGGCCAAGAAGAAACAGAGTGTCAAGAGGGAGAAGACAAACAATGAGCTCAATAGGCAGAGAAGTGTCCTCTGGACTTGGCAGCTGACACGGACAGCCAGGTGGCAAGGGATTGACAAATGGAGGGATGAGAGGAAGTGGTCACCACTTGTAAACCTGGAATGCTAGCTGTTCTTGGGTCTGAAGAGCCTTTCTCCTCTAGCATTTACCTGGTGAGCTTGGACTCCCCTTTAGAGATAAGGATCAATCACGTTTTTCCTGAAGAAGCCTCTCTGATCCAGTCTGTCAGATCATCACTCCCACTTGCCTTATAACAGCACGTGTCACGTGTCTCTGCTCCTCATCACAATGCATTGTGATGACTTGCAAATGTCTGCTGCCTATACTGAACTGTGAGCTCCCTGAAAGCAGGGGCCATGCTGTCAACATCGCCATCACCATGATAACCTTTACTAATATCACCGTCATCACCATCACCATCAGCATCCTCACCACCACCAGTACGTCACACAATTGTCACTATCCCCACCACTAACGTGATCACTACCACCATCATCATCACCATTACCATCACTATTTCCGATTCACTGTCATTACCAACATCATCACCATTGGACAACATCAATCGGCATCACTGTCATCACCATCACCATCATATCGCCACCACCATCACCTTTACTAATTTCATAGGACGCAAATCATATACCAGGACTGGAGCTAAGTGCTCTACGTGTACCATATTTTTTTCCCTCATGAAAAGCCCCAAAGCGAAGTCCTATTGTTGTATCTGTTTTATAGACGAAGAAACTTTGAGATGTTTGTATTCTGGCACTTTACACAGCTCTTGAGTTTTCTTTCTTTCTTTCTTTCTCTTTCTTTCCCTCTCTCTCTCTCTTTCTTTCTTTCTTTCTCAAGCTTAAAGAAGGAGTCTAAGCCAGAGATATAAAGCATTTCCCTTTACAACATTGTGTGCTCAATAGCTATTTATGGAATGAAGGAAAGAATGAGTGAATCATTCTATCTTTGCTTTGAACAACTGTTCACCCTTTTGGAAGAATAATTCCATTTACAGTGGCCGCATTATGTAAAACAGGACAAACAAGACATGGCCCTAGACTTCCCAGGGATTCTCTAACAATAACAATATTTTCATCCCTAGACCTGCTCAAACCCTGGAAGGGGCTGAACTTGCATAACATGCGGGGAAGGAGGTGAATCCAGACAGAGAGAAGAGCTGAAGTCCTCATCCACTGTAAATTTCTCTGGCTGAGCGTAAAAGAAACTTTAAATGCATAGGAGTTTTTATATTATTCTGGAATAGACTGAGTTGCATGGTATTAGGCTGGGTGTACCATCTGTGAATTTGCCCAAGATATTACCCAGAAGGTGAGGAATAACAAAGCCCCAGAGAGGACTGGAGGAGTAGTGGGAGAAAAATTAAGTTCTGGTTTGTTCTATAAAATTCAACATAGTGTAATGCGCAGAAATCAGTCATGTGATTAAGATGTGCCTCAGAAACACTTACTTCTGGAACAGAAGGACCTGCAGACGAGGAGTATCTTGAAAGATGTGTGTGTGGACAGAAGTAAGTGCTGGGGAGTCTTGACAATCCAGCTGCTTCAGGTTGGGAGTCATCTTGAAAATGTCCCCCTCCAGGGTCCTCAGCTTGGGCATCATCCTCAGGTAGAGGGACGTGAGCTTCGGCAGGTCTCTGATCCACCCTGGCTCAACTGAAACACAGAGGGGAAGCTGCCCACTACCCAGGAAGGCACAAACCCAGGAGGCCAGCATGGCATAAGGAAACAACAAGAGTGACAAGGTGGGTCGTGAAGAATGTCATTGCCGAGCAGTGGTACAGTTAGCAGTTTTGGGGATCTCAGAAGCCTGGCCATTTCAGCTGGAAGAGCCCTCGGGGATAACCAGTCCCAGTTCACTAAGGCCAAAGAGAAGAATGTCTGGCCCAAAGATGTACAGCTGGGAGAGGACAGAGACAGAACTTGAACCCAGGACGCTGTCTCCAGGTCCACTGCATCCCCATCTTCTTGCTAAACATCACACAAAAAAATAACCAGGCTTCACTCAGATGGCTACCAGGGGAGTGGGAAACTTTCGAGGATTGTAAGTAAGGAGGAGAGGAGGTCCAGAAACCTAATTTTGTGGCTCTCCTAATAAATGGAGAATGTGCCCTTCCCCTCTGTTCTCGTTCTTTTTCTTTTTGTCTGTGATGGAACAAGTGGTTACAGACACATGAAGTACTTTTTTTTTTAAAATAATAATACCAACCTTGTGAATCAAAGTCAGAACACCAAGTACAGGAGAACCATTATCCTCACCTCTCTCCTGTGTCTTGTTTAAATGGTGCAACATTAACAGAAGCAATTTTAGCCAACCAAGTAGAAAAATCAATGGATTCATCCTCAGAGCACACTGCACATTAATTAACTGCACGTTTGGTGCCAAGCTCATCCATGACTCAACCCCAAAGTGATGCATTCCCTTCTCTATTCCACAAGCATTTATCCAGCTATGCTGGGACGCAGAAGAACAGAGTGGCTACAGTTTTCCTGGGTTCGGATTTGGAGGCATGAAACACTTAATGAGCTGTGAGATCACAGGCCAGTTACGTCACAGTTCTGTGCTTTGGTTCCCTCCTATGTAAAATGGGGATAGTAACAGTTCCCACCTCTTAGGACTGAGGGAATTAACCCCAGTGTGGCGCTTCAAACAGGGCCAGCTTGCTCTGGAGATGCAGCTGGCGTTTTTATTTTAGTTTTTTAGCAACAAGGTCTCACTCTGTCACCCAGGTTGGAATGCACCCAGGTGCCATCATAGCTCACTGTAACCTCAAACTCCTGGACTCAAGTGATCCTCCCGAGTAGCTGTGACTACAGGTGCATGCCACCACGCCCAGTTAGTTTTTCTTATTTTTTGCAGAGATGGGGTCTCGCTATGTTGCCCAGGCTGGACTCACACTCCTAGGCTCAGGCGATCCTCCCGCCTCGGCCTCCCAAAGTGCTGTGATTATAGTCCTGAGCCACCCGGTCGGCCCTGGTGTTATTTCTGAGCTCTACTGTGAGTTAGGCACCCGGGTCACCCATTGAGGAGGAGCGCAGCCCTGAGCGGCTCTGCGCTCAGGCCAGCTGAGAACGCGGGGCGCCCCGACTCACCCCGCTCGAGGAACGTGCCGCTGAGATCCAGGACCTCGAGCGCGTCCAGGGGCGCGCCGTCCGCTCCGGTGAACGCCGCCTGGGCGATGCCGCCCCCGGCGCCGCGGCCCAGCGCGGAGGCGGACAGGTTGAGGAGCCTCAGGGCAGGGAAGCAGGCGAAGGCCCGGGGTGGCAGCGCCTGCAGCGGGTTCCCGGAGAGCGCCAGCGTGCGGAGGCTGCGCGGCGCGGGCCCGGCGCAGGGCGGCAGGGCGGCCAGCTGGTTGTAGCTGAGGTCCAGCGTGTGCAGCCCCGCCGGTCCGCCCTGGCCCCAGCTCAGCGCGGCGACGCGGTTGTGGCG